AGCACCACCAAAGGGGTTAGTGCAGGCACCTCAGGCTTAGGTGAACAGTTCTGCATTGAGGTGGCCAAAGCTGAAGTTTTCTGTGGCTGCAGCAGCATGGTCTGTGAGGAATGATCTGCTGGAGCCCCTTTATAGCAACTGGCTGCTGGAGATAAACATTACTGCAGCGTGACATGTCCACATCAGAAGAGAGGCTTGTCTGGCTTCTTCAGGAGAAGTCTGCCTGGACCCTTGCCAGACACCTCAGTCCCAGCAGAGACACTCAGAACATGCCTAACATTAAGCACATGAGTGGCCCTATGGACATTAATGGGGTTGCTAATGTGCCTAAAGTGAAATATGTATCAAGAGCTGTCCTGGAATGGGACCAAGGACTCAGAAGCTTGCAGGATCAAGGTTTGGCCAAAGAACAGAGAGTACAAGGGGAGACAAAAGCTGAGAGATACCGACCTGCTCTCATGCCCTCTTGTGTCAGTCCTTCAAGGAAGCAAGCCCTGGAATAAACCCCTCAATGTAGCAAAAGGAATACCTGTGCAGAAAGCCAAAACTGCAACTCATTTTGCAGCACACAGTGTCTTTTGCTTTTTAGATGGCGTTACATTTTAAAGCAGAAATTGTGATGTCACTGCAGGAAAACATTGCAAAAACATTGCAGCAACAGGATTTCTTTCAACAGAGGCCTGGTTGACTCACTCCCACAGCTGCAGCAAAGTAGTCCAATGTGTTTCTGGAGAGCATTCTTGCTTGTGAAGTCTTTATTGGGACACTCTGACTGCAGGGAAATGCAGCCGCTTTTCATTTCTTGTGGCAGTCAGAAAGTTTCATTGAATATTTCTGAGCTCTCAATCTCTTCCAAAACACATGCTGAATTTCCTGGCTCTCTTCCTTAAAATCTGGTCTGGGTTTCTACCCCTGTCACCTCTCAAATTACTTGGTGAGCACATATATTTAAAAAGAAAAAAAAAAAAAACTTTTTCAAAATTGATTTTGTTTTTTTCAAACTTTGTGAATTTTTATGTGCAGTCATTTTTTATGTTTAAATTATCTGTATTCTGAGCTTATCAGTAGAATACAGCAAAGCTGAAACAGAAAGATTTGTCCTTTTGCTATTAGTAATGCAACACTGCCAACTAGAGGCACTGGTAATGATCAAATTTTTGTTGTGGACCGCATGGATAAACTTCAATGGATTGTATACCTATAAATATTAAAAAATCATATTTTCACTAAAGGAATCCCACCCAAGTCCTTAAACTACAATCATACTTACATAAAATTTCCTTCATTACATCATTTATTGAATCCAAGCACCACATCACATCATCCAGAAACTCAAATAAAACTAAGTCAGATAGCGAATTACTTTGGGTTCCTCGAAGAGTTATGGAGACACTTTAAGAGCTTTTGGAACACCTCCACAAGAGGTATTTTTTAACACCTCCACAAGACATTGCAAGTATTTTTAAAAAAATAAAATTTGTAACTTTCACAGCAAACTAAATTCTAGCTACTTTCTAAACTCATAATTTCAATGAGGCTTCATAATTTATTATTTCTAAAGAAACAATAGTCTAAGAAACTATAGTCTATTCAGGTGGTCTGAACCACAGTTTTTGTAAAGGTTTTCAGCTTTGTCAGGTGGCATACACTTCGAGGATGGTGTTTGTTCACAGCTGAAGGAGCAATATTGAAAATAGAGAAAACATGTCCTTGACCAGAAAGCTCAGCTGCTGCCTGTCCCATGTCGTTCCCTGACATGCCAGTGGTTGCTAATTCCCTGTGTGAGAGGGGCCAGAGCAGAGCTGTGGGTGTTTGTGCCCCAGCACAGAGCGGAGCTGCCTGGGCCCCACTGTGCTGCCCTGCCCACGATGGTCAGGCACAGCAGCCCAAGGTGGGCACTGCATACAGCAAGAAGGAGCTGGAATGGAGGAGAGGGACCTTCTGCAGGTTCTCATGCCAGCCCAGGTCCAGCAAAGCCTTAGGGAAAGACTCCTCTGTTGTACCACTCTTCTGTTCTGGCAGTGAGGGCCCTGGGCTGCACCGGCAGCTTGGAGGGCCCGAGTGGCTTCCCAGGCCTCCTCTGGCAGGGCTAGAACCACACTGTGAGAGAAAGATCTGCTGGTAGAAGAGAAAGAAGATAAAGTCCTGCCTGCCAGGGCTCTCACAGCAATAAATAAACAGTCCAGAACAGTTCATACTTTTGGACTGAAGGAAGGAGCCAATAACATCTAGAGCTGGTTTCCTTTTATTTACCAAAACACATTTATTCCGTAAATCTCAGCAAAATCCATGAAAAATAATAAATTACTTTTTGCCACTTACAGTCTTCAAAGCTTTGTATCTATAAAAAGTTCTGGGAAATCCGAGAAGCCTAGAGGGCAGGAAAATAATCTTGTTGAGAAATAGGAGCCAATAGACATTGTAGTGACTCAGAGAGGCACAGAGCTGCAGAGCAGCTGAGAGTGAGGTGTCAGTGAAGCCTGGAACCAAGTTTGCCAGGGGCTGTACCACAGGGCAATTTAAGGATGGAGGGGCCAGCTTCCAAAAAATGTGGGAAAAACCTTGGAGGGGTTGGAGGTGACAGTACTGGAAGAAGTTGAAGGCTTAGAAGTGAAAACATGGGCATTTGCCTGTTTGCAGCCAGTACAAACCACTGCAAAAAGTAATTCAGTAAATGTTTTCCCAGTTATATTATTATGCTTATGTTCCATAACAATGTCTTTACAGGAATACGAAGCTAAAATGGTGCAATGGTGGAGCAAAAGCAAACAACTGGCATGCAGATAACACGGGAGTAGTTTGTTCACTTAAGCAGTACCTAGAGCTCTGCTTTTAGGGAAGGGGGTGGGGGAAAGTACATCTGCTGTGAATCAGCTTCTAGGACCAGAAGAATTATTTCCACAATTATGACTATTTTGAAAGACACACACACACAGAAACTAACCACCATGTCATATCTACATTTCTTTAAATTATTTTATTGAAATGATCCAGACATTGATTTTTGGCTGTCAGTCTAGACATAAGCCCAATGGACATTTTCAGGGTTTTTCCACTTATTCCTTTTACTGTTTGGCAGTGAAAGCCAATGCTCAGCACTACAAACTCCAAGAGTAGTTCTCTGCTTGGTACCATGTGCTGCTTGAATATGCACTGAGATCCAGACTCAGTCCACACCAAATACCAGTGTTAGGAGCCAAAAGTACCTCCCATCCATGAAAATATGTGTTCTGCAAAGTTCTTCCACATTGTTTACTGTAAATTTATTTGGGCATTTGTGGTGGTGCATCTCCCCCCTCCAGGCCACACTATGACCTCTCTTTGTGATCTCCTAATTAATTTTGTATTGATTTGCAGAGGCACATTGATCACATGTAAAAGTCTTTGGCAGAATTGCCAATAGATGTTGCAGACTGGTGCTGAATTGCAGCTGTCACAGGAGCTGTGATCTCATCCCTTGCTCACACAGAACCTAAGGCAGAGTTGGGCAGAGTAAGAACTTCATCAGCAACCTCATTTGTGCAGCATTCTGTACAGTAAAATTTAAAAGTCAGTCTCACTTTTCATAAATAGGCTACACATATGAATACTTAGATCTGCTGCTGCATGACTCAGACAAAAGCAGCAGCTTGAGATTCCAAATGCCAGTTATTCTGCAACATCTTTCTTTCTCTAGAAACCTGTCTTTGCACATACTTTACTGCTGCCTTATTCTGCCCTACTTTTAGATAATTATTACTTTTCCTAACTTTGACTTAGATTTAACAGTGTATACACAGTTAACCAATGGCTGTATCTCCAAAACTGATCTTTAGAGTGGGGGAGAAAAATGGAAAGACTTTCCACCACCATTTTCTGCAGACTAAGCTGGCTGAGCTCAATGAGTGGGAGCACACTGGTTCAATGAGGGGTGCAGAAGCATGTGCTCTACATTGCAGAGATTGAATTGAATATTTGGCTGGTAGCTGCTGCTGCACAGGTCACTGGTTTGACTGCCAGGCTGTGCCTGGGATGGAGCTCTGGCTTCACACTCCACTCATGTGTAGATGCTGAGCAGAAGAAATCAAGGACAGGCAGCTAATCTGACCCACTTAGCAAGCAGGGACTGAACAGGAATACTGAAGGCATCCGGCTTGGTTTTACAAATTATTACAGTCATTTTCTTTCAGCATTAAACCTTAACAACATCTTTTTTACCAGGGCTGCCAATCTCTCCAGCAAGATTGACAAAGGCTGAAATTCTGACCTTCAAATATAGAGATGAATTGCTGAACATGATCCTGCTAAAGGTAACTCTCAGGTAGCTCAGCACTAATTTCAGTCTATTTGATTGACTGTCTACTGCTTTATGCCTTACAATAATAAACCTGTGCCATGAAAAACACAATACCTCAGATCTTAAGAACACATTATCTCAAAAATATTTCCATAATTTTGGAAAAATTCAATATTTCTAAGAACAGTAACCATACAGTCCATATAAACAAATACACAGGAGAAGAAGACACAAAAGAGGATTGCTTCTGATTCCCCTGCAAAAGCTATTCAAGGAGGAGGAAAAAGGTGATCCAGCTCATTCCTTCTTTCTGCAAAAGTGATGAATAAAGGACTTTGCTTGTATTCATGAAGTTCAGTAAAATTATATCAAGCGGCGTGTCCATAAAAACAGATATTTTAAAACTACAACTCCCAGGAGCAATAATCAGGCAGTTTAAACCATAGTTTTTAAATAAATAATTTTTATTTTCCTCTCAAAAAAAAAGAGAGTTTGTTTTATTTGTTAATTACACTTCTCTACACAAAGTAACCCTTGTGTCTTCCTATTAGGTTCATTCCTATCTTCAAGCACCAGTGAACTCTGCCATTCTTTGGGAACAAAAGCACCTCCAGTTCCAGCTTTCATTGGTGGTTTCTTTTTTCACTGGACAAAAGCCAGACTCAAACTGTTGGAGGGGGTGTTAGCAGACACACACAAGCCACTATTTATTTCCAGTCCTCATACAAGACACCTGATACAAGCTCAGATGAAGAGAAATGCAAGGATTCAGTGTATAAGCATGGGAACTTGCAAGAGAGAAAGTTGGAGGCAAGGCAGCAAAGCAAGGGGGAGGGTGGAAACACATCATTTTGGTTTTCAGCTCAGAGGTTCCTCTCATTTTTTCCCAGGTGAATGTGCTGTTGCTGCTACACAGAGACCTGGGCAGCTCAGGTGTTCTGTGCTTAAATAGCTGATTTTTAACTAACAAATTCCAGGAAAAGGACCTTCAATCAGGAGAACTGGTCGCTGTGGTGAGCAAGTACTTCTCATTCTTAACTCTCCTTTAGTAAAGCAGTGAGGTTTTGTTCACAAATGCCTTACAAGCCTAGGTATACAAAAGGACAAGTGATAGATGCATAGAGGAAATGTTTGTTAGCTAGGAAATGTTTGTTCTGGCAGGGAATTGAAGGCAATCTGTGTGGTGTTGGCTGTCCTTTTTTTACCTGAAACAATTAATAACATTGGAATATGCAGCATCAAAAATAGGGAATATTAAATTTTAACTGCCTCCAGTTGCAGTTCCAAATCCCTCTTAATTTTCAATAGAAAATCAATTATTAAGCTTCAGATGATTTTACCTATGATTTAAAGAGATTAACACTTTGATTTTTTTTTTTATTAATACATCAGGAAAGACTACTTCTTAATACAAAATTAAAATTTCTTTTTTCCTAGCTTTTGCATATTTTAATGTAAAACTTTTTCTCCAGCCACCTGAATAGAATGAATTTCTCTAATTGAGATTGCCAGTTATTAGAAATGGAATGTTAATTTGTTCACAAGAAATTTAACTGCTAACAGTGATTTATGTGATGTGGAGAAATCCGTTAAAATAGTACTTTTCATGCCTCTCAGTCCTAAAATGTATGAAGCATTTTCTTTTGCCATTGCTCAGGGCTGCAATTCCATACTAACATGAATTTTAAATCCAAGTTATAGATTTTCTTTATCAATACAGGCACAAATGTCTTGAGGGATATTTTTTTTCTTTTTTGCAAAGCAGGGGTGGAGGGTCATTGTTGTTATTATTCATTTGGTTTGGGGATTTTTTATTCAAGTCAAAGTAATTTCTCAGTGGGACATCCTGGCAGCTCCTAAAGCTCAACCTCTGAAAACTGGAATCTCCAGTGAGATGACTGAGAGGTATCCTGACCTACATGCATTCCATTTTTTAACTCAGTTGAAACCATCTGATATCTACCTGAGTATCAGATTTTTAATGCCTAGAAGTGATTGTACTGGAATAAAGTAAACTTATCAATTAAAAACAATTTGGCTTTGTAATGCTTTTCCTCAACTCTTGCTTTTGTTCTCTGATTTTTATTAAGGTAAGAAGTTACTGAATTTCTTATAATGATCTTGGTCAGGAAGAGAGTACTGAACCAGCCAGAAACACAGATTAATTGTTTTATTCAGAAGGAGTTGAGCTGAATTTCAGTGTAAAATATGAAACAAAGAATGGGAATTTTTTTAAGTGGAGACTTAAAAAATTACCACAATTTCAAAGTTTTGGAAGGATTTGACAATTTAAGGAGTATTATACTTGGGGCAAATTCTTGCCAATCTTCCTACTTCATTAAGAAGGATATTATGATACATCTTTTGACAAAAAAGCTCCAATGTAAAAAGAAATAAAAATCCCATGCTGTTACATATCGCTGAAATTTAAAAACCTGGAGCAGTGTCTTGAAATTGCTGTGATCCAGTATTACAGCATTGTACTATTTCATGAGAATCACATGAGAACAGTACCCTGCAGCCTCATTTTGCTGCTGAAATTAGCATTGCACAGCAAAATTAAGCATCTCCAGCTTGCATTTTCCTCACAAAGGCAAGCATTTCTAGAAAAAAACCAGAAGTGTCTCTGAAGTACAGATTGTTAGGATGCCACTAACATATTGATCTACACTGCACCAAGTGACAAATCCTTGTGACTGAAATTGTTTCTTTGTTTTCCAGTTTCCTTGCATTGGAAGGGAAATAATGCTCCATTCTACACTGGCCTTGTCCCTCCTGCTAATTGCAGTCACTTCCAACCTTGCCATGGCAATTAAAAAGGAAAAACGAGCACCTCAGACCCTGTCAAGAGGTATTGTATGTTCACTGAATGTAGTTACCTCCTCACCTCACCATATAGACCAGCAAATATGTTTATTTTGAATGTGCATTTATAGAATCTGTATCTATATATACATTCTATAAATGTACAAACATATTTATTTATAAAACATACATAGAATGCACATATACACTTACTGAGGTGTGTTTTCTTTAGTGATAAGTGATGCTCTAATTAATATATGTTCTCATTCCAGATCATTTGAATCCATCAGTTTATTAAGCATATGACTGAGAGTGTCATATAACCTGAATATTTTATATATCTCATGGTAATCTAACAGAAGCAAATAACCTAAACTGAGTCTCCTAAATCAAGATGTAGGACTATCAGTGAAAAAATATTCTTTGACAGACCATTTGAAATATATGTTCTTTTTGTAACCTACCATAACATCAGTTGCTATGGAACAAATTTTCTACAGACTCATTTTTGTACACAGAACAGTTTTAACCATTGGTGAGGTTTCCTGCATGACTGTTTTTTTTTTTTGCTTTTCATCAGATATCCACTGCAAAGCATGACTGTCAGTAATTCACTTATGGTTCATCATTTTCAACCTGTATGTTAAATAAAGACTCTGTTTTAATTTATTCATATCCAATCAATCCTTAGGAATCCAAGCAGAAAAATAGCTTAGCAAGCTCTTTTCCCCTTCCCCATCTTTCTCCTCCTTTTGGGACTATTCAACAACAGCAAAAAAATCTTCATCTCTCTTCCTAACCTCTTTTGCAGGCCATGTAATGCCTGGATCCTACAGGATCTGAGTTTTCCCTATCCTGGCAAAGTTGCACATCTCTCAGACATTCCATCTGAGCCTAATTGCTCAGAGATCATTTAACAAAATCATGCACCACCTGGACTAGCCTAAGAGAAATTTCAAACCACTTTTTGCAAGCAGTGTCCCTGGGGAAAGTTGATTATCAATCTGGGATATGTTGCTTAGTTTGCCTGGATCAGGATTTATTTTTTCCCAGTAAGCCTAAATGAACAAAAAGGATAACAAAATCTTTTGCATTATGTCATTATTGTCAGATTTGGAAAAAAACAAAACAAACCAAAACAAAACAGAAAAAAACCAGCAAACAAAGTAGTCACAGAAAACAGATCTAACTTTTCTATTTCAGGTCTATTGGGATGCCTTGAGCACTTTCCCTGTAATTTTCACAGACCAAGGGAAAATGCTTGAACGTGCTGCAAAATGCCCCCAGATTGCTGACTCGTGTGTGCAGTTCCCTGCATCAGGAGCTGCCAGCAGCCAGGGTTGGGAAGGCACTGGTCAGCATGCCAGAGTCCCACCATCACCCAGACAGACCTGTGCACTGAAACAGGACATGGTCTAGAAGCACCACAAGCAATTGTCCTGTGAGAAATCCAACAGCAGATCTGGGCTGGGCAAAGCACTGTCCAGACAGCACAGAAGAAACAGAGCTTTAACCTGGTCCTGGTCCAGAAACTGTTCTACAATTCCCATGAGGATTGTAGAACAATTGTCATGAATGGAGCCACACTGCCTGGGATACAGGGATCTACTATGCAAGGGCTGGCATCCTTGGGAGATGAAGGCATAAAACCAAGTGGTCAATTTGGTTTTTGAGATCTGTATGTCCCCAGCTATGGATGAGCTATGGAGCTGATGTTTGTTAGGATTTTGTTTCAGTGGAGATTTTTATTTAACAGCCATTCCTTTACTGAATTCTTAATTAAATGAAGGGCTTGCAGCTTCAGGGATTAAAGTTACTTTGGAGTTAAGTGTATATTCCAAGACTGTTCTAATGATATTCATATTAAAGCTGATCTTATTTGAGCTGTCATATTTTATTTTTCTCTCATTATATGCCAGGTTCTCTGTAAGCCCCAGGGTCTACATGAAGTACTGAGCAGACAATGTGAAGATAGAAAGGACTTGGGTGCTGATTTAGGGACCTCTGAGCATTTAGAAAGATAACTTAAAATCTGTCAAAGGACTTGAAGTGGACATGCAACCAGATGATATTTTTTGGGGGGGTTGGGTTGTTTGGTTGAGGTTTTTTTGACCTTTTAGTGTGTCTATCAGGAGATGTGAAATTAACATATTCACAATGTTAGAGAACTGTCAACTAAAACCCCCAAATCTTATTTACATACAAAAGTTAATACACAAAAACAAAAAAGAAAAAAGAGAAAGAAATTTGCTATGAGTTACTTGCCTGGCCAGCAGCTAGACCTTTTGTTTTATTTCTAGGGTGGGGAGATGAAATTACATGGGTACAAACTTATGAAGAAGGACTTTATCAAGCAAAGAAAAGGTAAGAGATTAAAAAGTAGCATGAAGACAAAGTTGTTACTTGGTCTTGCCAGAACACACAATAATGAGACAGAGGAAAGAAACACCATGAGAGCTGATCTGCAGACCGACCACCCAGTTAAATAAAACAGACTCTGTCTATAAACAAAAGGACTTCTAGGACTCATGACTCTGAAGTAATAACATGGGCCAATAATGTAATGCTGTCATTTCTTTGCCACAAAAGAGATGTTGTCATTTAAATTATCAATCATAAATAGATACCATAATTTTTATACTACATCTATTGTGTTTTAATATCATGTACTTCTGATTACTTCCTTGAAATCTGTTACATTTACTCTTGCATGGTGATCTACTGCCTTTGATGTTTCCCCCAACACTTTCTTAGTTGGAATATGTTCATGATATATTTTCTCACTATCTTGATAGAAATGGAAGTTCTGAGCTGTCTTCTCTGAGACTCAGCTGCAAATATATTTGAGAATTCATAACAATACTTATTTAAATATCTTTTACAGTTCATTGTAGATCATAATAGTGTAGCATGAGCTATTGCTCAATTGAAGGCAAATTATTTGTAAAACAAAAGACAATTAATTTCATGTACCCTGTCTGAAAATGGTTAGAAATTAACAACTCCTGATATTGAAAGCAGACCCAGCACTAATAACTGACCTGCTGAACAGTAAATATAGTTTAAAAAGTATGGGAGGAAATGCACAGAATTTGTTTATGTTTTGATATCCAAAATATAAAATTTTAACACTTTATCAAACTATTTACAGAAGATAAGTAATATCCTATATAGCTGTTCAAGAAATCTTAAAAAACAAGAAACTTTTCATGAAAAGTATTTGATAAACCCAATCTTATAAAATCTATTTTATTCTAATTCATATACATTATTTTTATTCTCTTAACCCTGGAGAAATTCACATCTAAGCAACATTAAATACCTATTCAACCTGATTATTTACTACCTGGGAATGAAATTATGGTGGATCTGTTATTTCTTTCTTCTAGAATCTCTTACTAAAGGCAGAATGTAGACATTTAGACATAGAAAATCTCTTTCTCTATTTCTTTCCTTTATGAAGTGCTTATGCTCTTTTCCCTTGCTCAGAAATTTCCATAATATTTTACAGAATGTTTATATAGTTTTACTGTGGGTTAACATAAGATTAAATGCAATTTGTTTTTTTCAGTCAGCTAGTAAAATCATCCATCTGAATACATGTCAAATGACCTAACTACATCTTTTATTATTATTAATAAAGTAACAAGCCACTGATGGTAATTCATCATTTGGAAGACTGCCAATACTGCCAAGGTAATATTGATTTTTTGTGTGTTAAAATCTTGTGAATATTTTTATAAGAAACTGAACCTATCTATATATTTACATTGCACTTACTGAAAATTATTCAGAAAAACAGCTAAATGAAAAGTGAAAAATTTATTACCATTGTTTACAAAAACTCCACTATGAAACTACGGAATAATGAACATGAAAAATTCTCACTGCTGCTGTACTGCTATCCCAAATACAGCATTCATTTTAAATTAAGAAGCACAGATTGGCTACTGACTCATTGAACAGATTTAATATTGTTTAGCTCTCCTGAAATGGTAACTAAAGAAGGAAGCAAGGACAGGGCTGCTGAAATTGATCTAACAAGAATTTTCTGAGAATAATGTACTTTTGTCAAGCCAAGACATGGTATCCATTGAGACAACAGGCTTCATAAATAACAGAAGAGAGCTTCCATTTTCATAGCCAGAGGTTGCAGTGCCACAGGCCAAAAAGCCCCCAAAAGCAGAGATAGAGGCCTGAAGTGCCTCCTCAGGAATGTGAATCAGCAGAGAAAGGAACAATGTGGCCCAGTCTCTGGCCAGTGTGGTGCCCAAGCACAGATGGAAAGGCAGCGTTTGAGATGGATTTCAAAGTGATCCTGTCTTTTCTAGCACTGAAGAAAGCTTTCGCAGAAAACGAAGAAATACAGGAAATGGCCCAAAATAACTTCATTATGCTGAATCTCATGGTATGAAGGGTTTGGGGCGATTTGACTGGTATCGTTTCATGGTCTGTGTTTTCTCTTTCTTTGCCTTGTTTTTCATGTTATTTTAGATAATTTATCTGACATTTTAGTTATTTAAGTAGAGGCAATTATGCATGTGTATTCACACATGAGCAGTACCTATCTGGTTTTGTCTTCTGGTATACAAGGTTATTCACAGGTGGCACTATTTCAGCAAAATTTACAGAAACATTTTAACAACTAGCCTTAATTTTTATACCAGCATGAAACTACAGATAAAAACCTGTCACCTGATGGACAGTATGTGCCTCGAATCATGTTTGTAGGTATGTAAAATATTTATATATCATTGAAGTTGTTATATCTGAATTATGCCACTATTGTCCTGTGGGGACATCAAAGTAATTCATTTTGCCAAAAGAAAATCTCTCTGCCTCTGTTGTACACTTTGACTCATGTAAACTTCCTCAGATTACAGATATATCCTGGAGGGTACTAATTTTGGCTTGAGAGCAGGACGTTTAAAACTCTGTTATTATCTGAGCTTTTGCTCTCCATGCTTCTTTCTAGTGCTGTTACAAGACAAAGTTTAATGAAAAAGTCAAATATCTGACTGAATGTAGATGGCTATAAAGTGGACATTACAACAGAATAAATCAATAGTCAGTGGCATCTAAGGATTTATTCCATTTTAAAGCTGACTTCTGGAATGTACCAAATTACTTATGCCCCAGAGTGCCTGTTCCTTGTCACTCGCTGTACAGGGAGCCTGGAGTGACTCCGTGATGGCATTCAGAGTTCAGCCCACACTCAGACAAAGAGCAGTGTAGTTTCAGCAGCCAGTAAATTAATAATAAACTTGGAAGGGTAACTGAGAGAAGAGATGTTCACAACAACTTATTCCCATTCTGGGAACATTAGGAATCAGAAGATTTTCATTATGAAGGCTCTAGGTAAGTCATGCTATTTATTGCCATACACAGGCATGACCCCCACTATGGGTGCATCCAATCAGATTAATCTCTTCTGTTGTAAACTCAGAACCTGTAAAACAGGATGTTTTTCTTTAAATATGAATGTGTAACCTAGCACTTAAAAATAGCTGTGTACTATGAAAATGAGCATTAGCTTTTGTCCAGGATTTCTCCAAGTAAAGAGCAGTGGTTTGGAACAGAGCGTAACGGCCTCATAATTGCTGCACCAATGAAATCCCAAACAGGGCTACCAAAGTAATGCCACACCATCACCCTCAGCTGCTGGGTGGGAATGGAAGGCAATGTTTAACCCAAACCCTTTTTCAGACCCATCTCTCACGGTAAGAGCTGATATCACAGGAAGATACTCCAACCGGCTGTACACGTACGAGCCGCAGGACATGATGTTCCGTAAGTATTTCCCTTTGTATTTCACGTTGTAAGCAGCCAGATCGCCCCATCCTGATCACTTGTGCTTGAGAATCCATTAGGATCTCAAAGAATAAATTCCTTGTGAGAGCACTTGCAATAAATTATAATGGTCTAACCTGTTCTAGCAAAACAAATGCACGCATTGTCCCGTTGAATTTATTGGGACTATTCAAGTAAGAAAAATTGAAAGATCATGGGTGAGAACCTTCAGGATCAAGATCTGAGCAGTTTTATGGAGAATGGTGAAAGTCACTCAAAAGTATCTGCCTGTAGAATGTAAATAGCCAGTGGTGGGAGGGAACCAGCAAAGAAATGCAGGTGGTTGTGTCTGTACCCCTAAGAGTCATATATCAGAAAGGAATGTGATTTTTCAGGTTGAGCCAGTTCTTACTCTATGCCATCTATTTGACACCAATGCAGTATCTCACCACAAATACACACTTCACATCTGATTACCAGCTTGGTGTTGAGAAATGGCGAGTTGAAAGGATTCTTGTCAAATCCCTTAAGTTAAACATTTTGATTAATGAAATTTTTTACTTTCTGTCTTAAAAAAAAATCTCTAAAATAAAATGTGTGACCATAAAACAATTTCATTGTGAATAATTTACTAAATCAAACTAGGTGGAGCTTTTTAATTGTACAAATATACTTCTAATACATTTTCACAGTTCTTATTTCTTTTCTTTCAGTAATAGAGAACATGAAGAAAGCACTACGCCTCATTCAGACAGAACTGTAACCAGTAACAGTGAAATGACCAGAACCTCCACGAGGTGAAGCTGCACCTCTCTGTCTCTACTTGCAAGCTGAACTTTTACCAAGCAGATTTGGTATATCAGATTTCATAAAAAATGTTTATGTGCAACTTGGAGAACAAAAATAGAATGACTAAAGCACCCATTTGGAAAACGTGAGGAGAAATATTAAACACTTTGCAATTAATTATCTAAATAACTGAAAATTATGTTTTTAAGTGCATCAAATTCAAGCTGTATTTTAGCAATCCAATTATGACTCAGTTAGGTGAGCTATGACTACTGAAGAGGAGTTACAAACAATCTTTTTGACGTCTATTTGCAATTTATTACATGAGTTAATATTTGCATCTTGCCTTCCCATTTTAACTTTTATTGCAAGAAGCTTATTAATTGTTAGTGTACCCCTGCTTTATACAGTCATTTTTCATTGAAGGAAAGGAAACTTTGCTGTCAAATCAGACTGGAAAGCTCATACTACAAATTTTGGAATAGCTTACATAGGGGAAAAAAACCCAAAAGAAACCCACAAAAAACAAACAAATAAATAAACAAAACCACCCCACAACAACTGAGTTCCGGGCTTAGCTTTCTTTTGCATAATCCTTTAATTTTTGTTGTGGTAGCTGAAAATGGAAGAGACTGAGCACGCAGTCTCAGTGAGGTGATAATAATCAAAAGGCAGCAACGTGTTTTGCTGCAATAAAGATACAATGAAGCAAGAGAGATGGAAGGAGATAGACCCAGAAATCCAAACCTGAGGCTAAGTGATGTTTGTAAATTCTGGCATGACAAAAATGAGGAGGTCTATCCTAGCTCTCGGCATTTAAATGTCATTTCAGTCATGGGAAGCTCATCCCAGGTCATTCCCTCTTTTTCTGCAGCATTCCGCCGTAAAGTTGGCAGCTTACTGAGGGAATCTGGACATACAAAATCTTGGCAAAATTTTCACAGGATTACTGTATGCAAGGGTGGACACCTGTTTTGAGTTAAAAGATAAAGTCAGCTGAAATGGTTTACTATCCCAGCAATGTGGGGTTTTGTCGATTGCTGACGATTGCAAAATAGTCAGCAATCCACCTTCAGCAGGAGCATGTATGTTATGTTACATGTAAAGCACCTGTGTCATTTGTTTGTGCCACCTGTGTTTGCTTGATGCTGCCTCTGTACATATGATGAAAGAAAGATGTCTGCAGGAAAGCTTTGCTAATTCACAATACCTAGTATTAATATGACATGAGTGAGTTATATGGCACATATCCACGTGTTCATAACTATGTAAAATTTGAATATAAGCATATATTCCAACAGAGTGGAGACAAATGGCCTCTACATGAAGGAAAAAAAATTATTTCAGTAATTAGAAATGTATTGTCTTTACAATCATCAGCATGATCTTTTTAACCTATGGGGAAAATGCTGGAAGTAAAATTAAACTGCAAATCTCATTCCTTTAATTTGTGCTGACCTCTACTCATTTCTATCTTTATCTGCTCCACATTCGGCAAGATTTCCCTGTCTGTGGTCATACCCGCTTTTGAGCATGCCAGAGATATTCTGGAGGAAGGAATGCAAACTAGCTACCAGAGGGTAGCCACAGCAGCCATTCACCTTCCTTTTCTCCAGGATACACAACCTCAGCCACTCCTCCTGGAGCTTTGTGCTCCAGACCCTCCACCAGCTCCATTGCCCTTCCCTGGACGCACTCCTGCCTTATTGGCCTTGCCCCAACCCTTACCCATAAACATCAACCCTGTCATCACCATCACCAAGCTCTAGGTCATGACAAATCCCTAACATATGGGGCCACCCCACTGCCTCCCCCTCCTTGCCTGTCCCTTTGGAAGAGTTTAAAGCCATCCAGTGCAGCACTCCAGTTGTGTCAGCCAGCCCACCAGGTTTCCACGATGGCACCCTAGACCTGCTTCCCTGATTCCCAGTGGCTTCCAGTTCCTTCTGTTTGTTGCCCATGCTGTGTGCATTGTGCAGATGTGCTTCAGCTGGGCTATTGATCCTGCCACCATTTTGAGGGGAGAAGCCCTAATTCCTACACGACCATTCCCAGGCACTCTGTGGTTTCTAATATCAATAACCCTTGTGTTTCTTCTGCCACATGGCTCTATCCCCTACCTCCACTGAGAGAACTGACCAAAGGATCTCACCAGCACACTGTCCCTCAAACATTTGTGTGACATTACCAGACTTAACTCCAGGGAGCTGCTTTTACCCCCTTCCCTCTTCAAATCCAGTTTAAAGTTCTTTATTCCTTTAGTGGATCCATCCATAAGCAAAGAGGTGGCTGTCAAGAATGCACAAAGCTGGAATCTCAAAAGATTTGTGATACAGATCTTGCTTGATCTCAGGAAAGCTTAACTTCATATTACCTCAGTGCTGCAAAAGGAAATTAATGGTAGAATTACCACTCATTGAAATTGTGCAAGAAACAAGTAATTCAAACCTTGGTCCTGGAAGGCTACTGTTGTTCTGCTCTTTTTTGGCATTTGATATTGAGCCTGCAGACAGGAAACAAACTGTATATTAAACAAAATAAATAACCAAATCTTCAGAACAATGCAATGATCACTGACTCAATTGTCAGACAAAAGCTAGCCTTTAGATTTACACTGCAGTGAATGTTATTTTAACATTTGAAGCAAATCCAGATTCATTTCCAAAGGGATTATTGATAATGATTGCATCTGTAACCTTGAACAGTATTTGCTGCTTTGGAAGTTTGTAACAGTTTTAACAAACCACTCATTCAAGCAGAGAATAGCCAATTTCTAGAGATGCCACAGGCACATGAATTATGACATGTCAGATGAAATCTCTTTGCAAAGTCAGTAAAGAGGATTTCACCCTCTTCTTTCCCTTCTCAAATCCCAATAAGTACCATGCTGAAATCTGTTCCCAGCCACCGCCTTCAGAAATGGGACTAAATCTTTGAGATTCTTAAAGACTCAGATCAAGTCCTTTTGGTGGAGCTAGATGTTCAGGTAAAAGACACGCTGCATGCATATATTTTTTATTCACAACTTAGTTCAACACTTATCCCTAATTTTAGAGCTGTTACTACATTTCTGCCTTCTCTTTGAAGACTTTTTTGCCAGGTAATATTTCTGCTGATGGAACAGAAACTCAGATCTCAGATTAAGGTCTCATTTTTCTGAGATAAGAGAGTAAACCTGTAACCTGTTCAATAACAGACTGAATTTGATTCTTTCCCATCGTTTCCTCTGAAATGAATGGCATGATAGTCTGCTCCCTCTTTTATTCCTTGCTTTTCTGTTTGCACACCGCACAAATTTACTCACTATATTAGTGGGCAGATTTTTGTTTTCACTCCTTGCTTTCAACTTTTTTAAGAAAAGACTTGGAAACTGTTCCTTTTGTTCCTTGTTTATCTGGAATTAAACCAAAGAGGTTAGAGTTGAAGGAAGAGAATAAAAGACTGAAAATGTGAACGTGAGAGCAGAAGTTGTTTTACACAGAATAAATTCATTCACAGTAAATGGACCAATAGATGAGAAAACCTATCTGTGTAGGCTGTGTACAGAATTCGTAGCCTTTATTCTCTATGTTTAGGTGTTAACATTCACATGGGCACAATGTGGTATCACCTGTACAAATCCATGTTTTATACAAAAAGATTTCTCTGAGTTTTGCCTTTGGTATGAACACAGCAAATTCTGGGAAGAAAAATTACTGCCACCTGTTCACATACCTGTCTCTGCTTTACTGTCTGGGCTTATCTGGTGTAATCAGACCAAGAGTAGACAAACAAACGTGGCCTTAACGTCAGTGAGGTGAGGCTCAGGAATCTGAGAAGTGACAGAACAGGATCCTCCCCTGTGTATCCGTCTCAGCACAGAAAGGCGTTCCCTTTTCCAGGCAGATGGCTGATCCATTGGTCTGTGGAGCTAAAACATTTTCCCATGTGCAAATATTTGCACCTGACCAGAACAAAAGAAAAGGCACCATACCTTTGTGTATCGTGGAGGTGAGAGACTGTGGGACACCTCAGCACTTAAAATGCAAAAGTAGCTTGATCTTGCAGAATAAGGCTGATAAAATTAGGCTTGTTTTGTGTACTACACCTGTTCTTGCCAAAGGCTGACACAGAGAAATTTCCAAAAGCTGAGGTGTCCTCCACAGGATCAACCAAGTCACTGACTGCTTCCTTTTGTTTGTTCCTTTTTTCAAATAGATGTAGAGATCTACAGTGCAAGTCAGAAGGAAATTAATAGTCTCCATGGCAATTAAAAAGTCCAAAACCACTGAATAGAAGGAAAATAATATTTATTTTTTCACCAGAAAATCTACAGAATTTGCAGTCTATCTATTAATTCCTTTTCCTTTCTCCTTAAGACATGTGTGCAATTCATCACTTCCATCTTTGATTGCTACCATGTATTGTAAATAACTGATCCCCTCATCACTAAAAGTGCATCTATTTCAGCAGACTGTTTTCTTTTATGAGGTATCAGATATTTGCTGCAATCTCTGATCCCTTTAGAACCAGAGAAGGGTAGCCACAGCTACAGTAACTACTACTTCTCCTATTTTTATGGAAAAAAAAAACCAAATAAGCAGAAACATCTTTTAGTTCACACTGCCATATCAAGAACTGCATTTTGAAATTTCCCAATAATGCCAAGTCCAGTAGACATTAATGAAGTCACCCTTTGTACACCTCTAAGTCTGACCTGTGAGAAAGAGAAAAGATACCACACACAATAAGCTTTCAAGTTTATAAGACTCAAAAGACTGCACTCCATGTGGAGTGTGCTGGTGCTTAGACTGTGTTATTGTTTTAGGAATGAGCCTAAAATGGCCCCAAAAAGATCTACTGTGCCTTCTGTTACCTTTCTGAGGTATCACTCGTTACTCCTTAGCACACCCTGGCTGCATGTCCCCCGGTGATTGTTTGTAAAGGGCTGGCACACAGGAACCCACCCTGCTATTTAGCACTCAGCCAGATGCAGAGAGACAAGTGCACAGATGTATAAAAACCAGCAGCCTCATTGCTTGGGTTCACATGCAGGGAAGAGAGCAGTGACTGCCTGGAGGAGAAGCTACACCCCATGGTGAGGAATATTGCACAGGATGGAGAGAAAAGTCCAGGAGTCCCTTGCTGTGCTAAGGGATTTTTTTGCTTCAAGCCTACAAGTAGCTGGGGTTGTGATTTTACACAGCTCTTGAGCATTTTCATAAAAGCATAAGAGCAGCAGAAGAGCATGTATCTTCCAGACCTCCACTGCTTCACTTGGAAGACAACTTCACAACCAATATACCAAATTATTATGTTATTCTCAATATTATTTGTATTCTCAAACATTTTTGTATATACATTCCTACTGAGGAGCATTCTTGCTCTAATTGAAAAAATATTCCCTCATGGCCTCACTGGCTTAGTTCTCAGTAATTCGTATACTCTCAACCTTGACAATTAAAAACAAATTCCAAATTCCATAATGAATTCCCAAAAAGGAATTCAAAGATGCAGAGCAGCAGT